GGATTCATCCACTCAGGCTATAGACATATGATAAAAAATCTATTTAAATGTTATGGAGTCTACTGAGTTCTTAGTTGTATTTTATTCAGATTTTTAGATTTTTAGTTCACAATTTGATATACATTTTTCTTTACTGCAACCTCTGTTTCTCTGTGGTAGACCCACCAACATAGATCTGCTAATTATTTCAACAATCGATAGACTCTATTTGTATGTTAAGTTTATTAGAAATGTTTGATGAGATTTTTTTTGCATTTAATCTATTCAGTATATTTTATATGTATCTCTTTATTATGTATTCTTTTATTTAGTAACTAAGATATACATGTTTAAACCTTTTTAACCATGAACCTAGCCTAATGGAACACCTTCCACATCTACTTGATCACCAATGGACTTTGGGGATTAACTCGGCTATATATGGCACATGTGGAGGGAGGATTTTTTTGCAGCATTGATTGTTATTTTATTTCTATACTTTTGGTCCCTGAGGAAGTTCTTACTGTAAGGACAAAACGCGTAGGACCTTAAATTGTTTTTGTTCATTATATTTAAGCTTATCCTTATATTATGTTTCAATAAATATTATTATTTTATCTGGAAACTAGAGTTCCTGAATTTGTTCCAGTATTGGACGACCTAAAAGAGGACAAGAGGTTTTGGCCCACCAGGGTAGGCACCTTTGAAGCAACATATATACCATCTTGTGAGTGCAGTAATTTTAAGAGCAGGTGTTACTCCATAGTACCCTCACAATGTAAGCAGACAGGATTAATGCATGAGGCACAGAGGAGCCCACCCTATAACAATGCCCACCTTTATTAGAAGTGCTACAATGACACAATGTTTGAAATGCAATGACATTACAGAGTCGATATAATGATGCTCACTATTTCAAAAAGAACACTTTAATAATGGCAGTTTTTAAACTGAATTATTCTGTTCATTTTTCAACACTATATCCAGTCAAACGTGCCTTTATATATCGTTTTCATTTCAGTATTTTCTGCTAGGATATTTCCCTATTGGAAACAAATAAATCTGGTTCCTCATAACCATGTACACACAGAGAGATTTCATTAAATTTGCACATAAGTTCACATTTTATCAGAGAACTGTCAAGAGCCGTCTAAAAGCATGAATAATTTGCATTTGCACTTCTGGGATTTGCTGCCACCCTCTGTCTTAAATTAGAGTGGAAATGCATTTATATAGAAGAGAACGTGCTATTCACTCAATGTATGCTCTGCACACTATTATCTTTTGCTAAATCGTGTATTCTGTACTTTTCTATTTTTCCATCCCCCTCTTTATTGGCTCACCCATTCCCTCTTCTTTTCTATTTTAATTGTTATTATATTTTTTCAGCTCTTTTTCTATCAGTGTAAACCAGTTCCACTTTCCATGGGTCTAAAATGTTTCATTGGCATCTAAATAATTTTAATAAAAATAAAATAATTCATAATTGGTGATTACATACAATGTACAGCAGCCTTATTGTCACCTAGTAAGTGTGTACTATTACCAAGGCTCAGATGCAAATGTTATTTGGTTGTTTACCTGGATATATATTGCATCTTCACATTGAAGGAAAACATGTGAAAAAGTACTGCCCTGCTGTATATAGACTTCATATGCTGCAGGATTCCCTCAGCTTCAGTACCTAATGCTAACCTTAAATCCTATCATTAAACTCTCCACCTACTGTTCCCATATGTGAAACATGTTTTTTAAATTAAATGTTTCTCAACAAAACATATTATAGTGGCCATGGCACAAGAAGTATTTGGTTAGCTGAACCATCATTTCCTGTTAAAACATCATCGAGTAGTTTTGACAAAAACTATGGCTCATCCAGGCATTGTTTATTTGGCACCTATGCAGCCAACCTTACACAGCAATGAAAGGCTGTAATACCCTACATCTTAAACCCTAACCTTAAATCTTAACCCGAAATGTCACCCATAACACTAACCTCCTAGTGCAGGGATAGGAAACCGTCGGCACTCCAGATGTTGTGGCCTACATCCCCCATAATGCTCTTACACCCATAGTGCTGGCAAAGCATCATGGGAGGTGTGGTCCAAAACATCTGGAGTGCCAAAGGATGCCTATGCCTGTCCTAGTGTCTAATGTCAAACCTAATTATTATCTTTAACTGTAAATGTAATCTGTGATCCTAACCCTATTCCATTGTGCCATTAGGTTATTCATAACTAAAAAAATCTAAAATCTAAAAATCTAAATTACTTTCTTTCTACCCCTAATAATAAGTTAATAAGCTTAAAGGGTTACTATAACCATTTTGAAAGAGGGGACTTTTCTGGCCTAATACGCCCTAATGAGCACTATGGGGAAGGCCCCCCTCTCAATTTGAAGTAAAACCTGAAATAAAAAGTTTTTACTTACCTGGAATCTAGCAACGGATGAAGGTCCCGGTGCTGCTCCTCCACGCCCCATGCTGACATCACAGAGGCCGCGTAGTCCAATTGCTGGCTCCTCATTAACAGGGCTGTGATTAGACTAATTGCCAGCTTGGAGTGCTCTGCCTGCCAGGCGAAGATTTTCACATCTGTTGTCAGCATGCAGTGGAGGACTGGACAGGAGGGAGAGCCTGGATAGCTAGATGCCACTGGACTCCAGGTAAGTCACCCTCATGTACTAAAAAGCTATGGAAAAAGAGGGGTGGCAAAAAATATACAAATTGTGATCTGTGTGTGTCTATGGATCTGTCAAGTGTGTGTGTATATTTGTGAATCTGTGTGTTGTATGCTATCTGTGTGTGTATATGTGTCTGTGTGTATAAATGTTATCTGTGTGTGTATGTGTGTGTGTGTGTGTGTTATCTGTGTGTGTATAGGCCTC